CCGTGGCTAGCTCTTTCTAGGAGTAGGGGGAGACCACACCTAGACATGATGTTCGGTAAAACTTCCAATGAAGGAAGACTTTCTTCATTGCCACCCGCCCGTTAACTAATAACTAAAAAAATCTTTAGTAATGAGTTTACTACTACAGGAGATCGGGAATTGTTTCCGAGACTTATTCTGCCCACCGGGAGGATGAAACTTCTGATTCTGCTGCCCAAAGGTTGTTTGCATGCTTAGCAATTTGAGTTCGAAAAACACTTTACCTGCCCCCTGGGCATTTCCTTATTTGTGATTTTGATTTCGTTGATTCTGTATTTGATTTTGTAGGATCTCCGTATTTGTTCAATCTCGCTGCTCGAGTAGGTGCTTTAGACCAGCTCAAACCTAAATAGTGAATATTCTTTCTCTCTTTCTATTTTTAGGGGTAGACCAAGGAAATCCTACTTCTATTGTTGATAAAGCTAAGTTGGAAAGGAAAGCTTTTACACTGGTTGCTCTGTTTTCTTACTCAACTACAAGTACAGTAAAGACTGGAAGCTAATAGTTAGAATGCTTTCAATTCGTCTTAGGTAAGACCTCGTTTCCATCTTTCTCTTTAGTCTTTTCTTCTTTTCGTTAGTTTATGGAATAGAAGCCGTATTACCGATAGAGATCGAAGTACCCTCTTTGGGTCTTGTATTGGAATATGAACTCCCTGAAGCGGAATGGTTGCGTGCAAGGTATGAAGAGTTGGCTCTAATAGATGAAAAGCGATTAAAGACATCCTTTCATGTCCAAGGATACCAAAGGAGAATAACTCGTGCTTGAAATAAGAAGGTGAAGCCGAGAGGAAGGAGATCTAGTCCAGAAGGAAATGCGAGCATCTCTTTTTGACCCTAGGGGGAAGTTCAAAGCGAATTGGGCACAGAAAGGTTCAGTTCAAAAAAGGGAAACTTGCGCTTATTCATATAGAAAGAGGAAGTCCTATTGACGTATAGAAAGTACTACGCTTTCATCCTCGCGGCCGGGTCCTACTCCTCAACCGGTACACAACCCATTACGTTAGTTAAGTTAGGATTTTCTCGTCATCTGGTACCTAACCGCTTCCATTCAATACTCAATTCAATACATAGCATGCATTCAAATCCTTCCTCCTGCTTCGGTAAGCAATTAGCGGAAGGGAGAAAGAAATCCATAGAAGGATAAAGGCAAAGCTCCGTATCCAAGTGGGAATCCACTTAGGGAGGTGAAATCTCGTCCAGCGGAACCGTTTGCGAGGTTTAAGAATTAAACCGGATCGAGCGGGTGCCTAAGCTTGAGTCATGATCATTAGGAAGTGTAATAACTTATTAACTTGCAGCGAGTTAGCCTCCTTATGAGTCGGGCACAGCTAATATCTTATTTGAGGAAGAAGGAAAAGTGATGTTCGAGAATCCGATGTTGCTTTTTCCTATGAAAAGGCTTGATTGACCCTTGGGATTGAATCTGGCTAGGCGGATCAATAAGAAGTCGTCTCAATTACATCGACCCCCAGCTGAACTGGTTAGTGATGCATTGACCATGAACATGAATTCTGTCTTTTCAATGTCAACCAGACTCCCCAGTTTCCCACCCGAATCGGTTTGAGTCTCACAAGCCCGGAGAATACGCCCCCTTCCTTTTTTTTCACTCTTTGACTTCACTGAACAAGCAAGGGATTGAGCAAGACGCGCGAAAGCCGTTGCTTGTTGGTCAGCCAAATGTTATAGACGTTAATGTGTCATTATTGTAGAGGAAATAGCCCTGAGTTGGGGCTAGATCGAGTCCTAGACAAGCCGATCTAATTTTATTAACAGTAACAATGAAAATGGCTCCCTCCTTAGTGAGAAACTATGAGCAAATGCCCAAACCAAAATATGTTATTGCTATGGGAGCCTGTACTTACAACCAGGAAGCAACGACTGAAGAATGAAAGAAAACCCCTCAGGGGAATTGGTAAAAGTCATTTCTCGAGGAAGATGAATGTGCAGCTTCTTCTATAGCTGTTGATTCTTTCTCTCAATCCTCTTCCGGAGTGAGTTGTTTCGCCTTCCAGGGCAAAGTCCCAATGGTCAACCATGTTCTTTTCTTTGGATTGCTAGGATGCCGATGGCAAAGAAATTCCAATCAAAGGTGCCTAACCTTATCGGATTTGGCCTTCAAACCTCAACTCTTTTCGAACTTTCCATTTCTCCTTTTCTATATGCGCTGGGAAAGAGTGCAAGGGTATGGGGATTTTTGATTGAATCGCTAAAGCGCTTATTAAGTCCCTTTGGGCCAGTTGTTGGATAATCGATAGTTGCAGTCGGATTTCCCGATGATATTGGTCTGGGTTTCTATGATTGGGTGTCCGCGGCTGTCTCCCCTTCAAGGCGATGTTATGGTCGTTTGGCGCAGGTAGTTGAGGGTGGGGGTAAGAGAAGGGTGTTTGCCATAGGCAACTATGTCTCACAGGTGATACTCCGTCCAATCCATAATTGGTTGATGGATCGTTTACGGTCCATTCCAATGGATGGAACTTTTGATCAGGAGCGTCCCTTGTTAAGACTAGTGCCTGCTGACGTGTGCTTTTCTTATGATCTTAAATCAGCTACCGACAGGTGGCCGATAGCTCTCATGAGTGAGCTACTGAAGGAAGTCTTTGGTCCGACTGTGTGGACGATTGGGATTAGGTCCTTGGGATTATCGAGCTTTACAACTCGATGGTTCCCAGGAGGTCAAAAATCCCTGTCATTCCGCATTGGGCAGCCCTTGGGCATGTACTCTTCCTGGCCCCTTTTCGCACTATCCCACCACTTTCTTGTGTGGTGGTGTGCTGATCAGGTGTACCCAGGTAGGTACTTCTCTCAGTATGCTCTTCTCGGAGATGACATCGTTATCACCGATGAAGCAGTCGCCAGTCGGTACATA